AGACTTATATTTAAAAAAAAAAATTCTCTTTCAACTGAAACTGTGATATTTGTTGTTTTTCAGACTGGAGGTAGTGTAGTTATTACTCCGTTAAGACCTATACTGAAGCCACAGCCCTTGACTGACCCGGGCTCACTGAGAGAGAGTGGTGACACACCTCACCTCACTCACAAGGCACCATCGTACTTGGGTATATCTTGTGCTGTTAATGGTTACAGTCGACTTAACAGGTGAGTTTTCTCAGCTCTGTCTCTTGTTGTAGAAGCAAAGACATTTTTTATTATGCAAGAATGTTATCAAGACTTTTTTTTCAGTGTAGAAAGAAAACATTATCATTTGATGACCATTTTACCACTGATAAAGATAGCCAGCCCATCCTCTTCAACAACAGTTGTAATTCCTACTGTTTATAAATAGTAAGTTTTCTCACAAGGAATTTTTAGGTATTGCTCTTTAACATTAAATTGCATATTTAGTTTTGATTAGTTTAGAAATACTTAGGCTAGACAGTTGTCTGTCAGTTAAAATTAACCATGCATGAGATACCACAACATCACAAAAGAAAACTGTAATGAAGATGCAAAAAAAAAAAAAAAAAAGAAAAAAGAAAAAGAGGAGTGGGGGACAAAGCAGGGACCATTCAAGGGTCGACAGTATAATTTTATCTGATGAAAATTGCTTTTATTGGTGTTCATGTACAGTATGTTTAGTTAATTTGATTGATAGGACACCCTAACCTTATCAAAGCCAGATCTAACTTAAATAGTATAAGTCAAGAAATTTTATGAAATCTGTAATAATTTTGGTAGAATTACCAATGCCATGTTAGGTAAAAGGACACGTGCAATTAATGCAACATTTTATTGTGGCAACGTTTTGCTCTCCATGAACCTCGTCAAGCCATTACAAACAATACAGGGACACAGAGGGTATAGGCAATAGAGTGAGATGTAAAAGCATAATGTCGCATTAGTTGCATATGTCTTTTTATGAAATCCGTATACAAAAAAAAAAAAACATCAGATTTGCGATGATTGGTTGAGTTAGTATTTATGTTACTGTAGTGCTACAAATAAATCTTAAGCTATAAAATGAAAAAAAAATTAAATTGCCTTTTTATTTTAAGGTATGATTCTTCGCTTCGTGATGGCTTTCGCTCAAGAAACAGCAGTCCAGCTCGTTTAGCTTTCAGCAGAAGTAGAGATTCTAGTCCTATGCGGCCAGAGTGGAAAGTGTTTGATCTTCATACCAAGGTAATGTTCTGGGTGTCAAGCTGGAGATGTACTGCAAGAGGGAAATGTTATTGCCATTGTATGACAACAGTTCACTGTTGCCATTGTAAAATAACTGTTCATTGTTATCATATGTATTCGGTGGTTAAAGACAGCATGTTAATTTCATGCTGTTAGTGTGAGAAAGGTAAATTTTATGAAGGGATTTAGAGAATCTGGTTAGCTGAATTTGAGTTTAGGAAGTGGGAAACCAGTGCTTGCTCTCTGAGGGAGGTGGAGATGCTGCCTGAGAGGTGGGAATGCTGCTGCCTGAAAAAGAGGTAAGAATGCTGCCAGAAAGAGAGGTGGGAGATACTGCTGCATGAAAGAGAAGTGGGGATGCTGCAGTTTGCAGTTTTTTTTTTTTTAATTGTGATCTCTTCACACTCGTGGCAAGATGGCTATAATAATAATAAAATTGAATAAATAAACTAGAATATATTAACACAGAAATAAAGTAAATAAATGTAAACAGCTTACTACATTCAGCTGAGTCACTGCAAGGTTGAAGTGCCAATACAAACTCATAGTGGTATGGAGCAATGAAAGTTCACTTTGATTTAGAAGTCCATGTGAAAATTTTTAGTTGGTTTGAAAATCTGAACATGAAAATTTCTGAGAATTTTTTGATGAAAAGTTAGACAAAAAAAAAGAAAGTTCAAATCAAATAAATTGTACCCGACAGTTCCTGTTACCCTGTAGTTGAGTACAGGAGGACCCCACATACAGCACCTTCTCTTTGGTGTTCCATGTTTTTGTTGGCTTCAAATTGAGCCATTGTTTATTATGTTCTAGCATGTGGAATAATGGCTCAGTTGAAAGTCAACGAAGATGTGGAACACTGAAAAGAGATGGTCTATGTGTGGGTCCCTCCTGTATATGTAGAGCATGTAGGTCATATGTTAGCCAAGGCTGAGAGGTAAAATATTGCCATTAAAACATCAATGCCCTTTAGAATATGATAGACATTTTCATGGATTCTTATCGGTGTCCAATCAACACACGGCATCACTCATGTATCACACTTTAACCCTTTCAGGGTCCGTCCCGTAGATCTACGGCTTTATGTTCAGGGTCCAAACCGTAGATCTACGTCATGAGCTCAGCTCACTCTGATAAACTGTGAGTGGTACATTTGGGCCTAGATATGAGAGAATACATCTATGTGGTATGTGTGCACCACATAAAACAGATCCTGCAGCACACTGTGTATAATGAGATAAAAAAAACTGAAATCATGATTTTTCGATTAAGACATCGACTTTGCAGTGTTTTTTCGTATGTTTTTTATAGTTGTATTTGCGATTTCTTGGTCTCATTTGATAGATTGGAAGACATTTTACAGAAATAGAGATGATTTTGATTGGTTTTAGCACAGGAAATGGCTTGAAACTGAGCTCAAAGTAGCAGAAATGTTAAATTTTTGCCGATATTCAAGAGTAAACAAACGACCTCACACATCTAATACACGCCAGCTGGTGGGTCTGATATACATTCACAAATATGATGATGATATTTATACAATTATTACAATATTGCATAACAGTAAATCTTCTATTTTTTGGTGTGAATAAAAATTCATTATGTGAATAAAAAATCAAAATGGAATTTATTTGTAAAGCCTCAAAACGTAACTAATGAACAGAGGAAATGTTAGTTTAGTTCCAGGAATACCTACATTGTTTATTCTGGACCCTATTTTGAAATTGGAATATTTTGAACTTTGTGTTAAATTGGCCAAATTAACAATTTCCGATCACTTTAATTTGTAGTTGAAACAGTTGACTTGGCGATTTCTTGTGCTCAATTGATAGAATAGAAGTAATACTAGTGAAATAGCTAAGAATTTGGTGACTGGAATAATGTAATTGGCCTAAAATGGGAGTCAAAGTCGGCAAAATCGCCGATTCGTAAATGTTGCCGACACATCAAAATTCGCGAGAGCATAATTTCATCAATTTTCCATCAAATTTCGTACTTTTTGTTTTATTACCTTCACAAAAAGATTCTCTACCATTTCATAAGAAAAAATAACAGAATTTTTTTTTTGAAAATTCTTGGACACTGGGGCACCACTTCAGATTTGGGCCTTGGACCCTGAAGGGGTTAATAATTATTCTTTACTATACACCAGCATATACAGCGTGTACAGCTAAGGTCGCAAGGGATTCGAAGACTAACCCAGAAGTGAGATTAAGGACAAGATACAGAAGTAAGATTAGGGACAAGATTGGCCCACTTAAGAGTAACTCAGGTCAGATCACTGACAGTGATAAGGATATGTGTGAAATTTTCAATACTTACTTCCTCTCAATTTTTACCCGGGAAAATACTAGCGAAATTCTTGAAATAATAGATTATGTGGAACAGGACGATAATAAATTATGCACGATTGCTGTAACTAGTGACTTGGTCCTCAGACAAATAGAGAAATTAAAACCTAACAAATCCCCAGGCCCTGATGAACTGTTTGCAAGGGTGTTAAAGGAATGTGAAGAGGAACTTACCATACCTTTGGCTAATCTTTTCAACATATCACTACAAACTGACATAGTGCCTGATAAGTGGAAAATGGCAAATGTAATACCTAGTTACAAGGCAGGTGACAGGTCCTTAGCTTTGAACTATAGACCAATAAACCGTACATCCATAGTGGGAAAATTTATGGAATCAGTAATTGCCTGAAGCAATTCGAAGCCATCTTGAAGGCATAAATTGATTAATGAATCTCAACACGGTTTTACAAAGGGGCGTTCCTGTCTTACGAATTTACTAACTTTTTTCACCAAGGTGTTTGAGGAGGTAGATTATGGTAATGAATATGATATTGTGTATATGGACTTCAGTAAGGCTTTCGATAGAGTTCCACATCAGAGGCTATTGAGGAAACTTAAGGCACACGGAATAGGAGGTGAAATTTTTTCCTGGGTAGAGGCATGGCTGACAAATAGGCAGCAGAGAGTTTGCATAAATGGGGAGAAATCAGAATGGGGTCACATCACAAGCAGTGTTCCACAGGGGTCAGTGCTGGGCCCATTGTTGTTCACAATTTACATAAACGATGTAGATGATGGAATAAATAACGACATAAGCAAATTTGCTGATGACACCAAAATAGGCGTCCAATTCATTATAATGAGGACACTAAAGCACTCCAGGATGATTTGAATAGACTGATGCAATGGTCAGAGAAGTGGCAGATGCAGTTTAATATAGACAGATGCAAAGTTCTAAATGTTGGACAGGAAAATAACCATGCCACATATAAACTAAATAATGTAGATCTTAATACTACTGATTGTGAAAAGGATTTAAAAAAGAGGGGCTAGTCTTTAGCACCTGAACTTCTTTATTTTTCATTCGATTTTTCATTTTTTTTTTTTTTGTACGTAAAGAAGCAGCTTTCCATTTTAATGTGACCAAGTTTCAATAAAATAGCTCAAAAAACAACTGAGAAAAAAATTATTTATAATAATCATACATATTGCAAGTTACTGTCGAAGTGGGACTTGGAGAAGCTGTTTTGGCATTATCTGTCGCATAAAACAATGCTAAACTGTATTTATCGTGGTTAACTTTACTGTAATTTATCCTATCTTTATTCTTAAAAACAATAAAGTTTGTATGGTTTTGACATTCAGCCAAATATCTGACTTTTTCCCTCACACAAATCAAAAACAAATTATATCTCAAAATGATAACCACCAGCTTGTAAAACAATCTTTCCTTTATGTTTGTGAATTTCATTGCATTCCTATCATTATTAATGACAGAAAGTCAATAGTATATATGTGAATAACTTGCTTCCAAGATAATCCGCGAAACAGTCGGACCACCGATTTTTTTTTTTTTCGAGAAAATAGCATTTTTCTCAGTTTTATATTGCATTATGAGTATATATCATAGTTACCCCTATCTGTTTTCTTTAATACAAGGACCCTGGAGGTGATAGGAGGAGAATGGAAAGCCCATCCCTAGCTAAGGAATACAGGTCTCCCTCAACATTCGCGAGGGTTAGGGGATCAAGAGCCTCGCGAATGTTGAAAAACCGTGAATGTTTGGTGCCCCAATATTTTTTTTTTTTATTATTATCACACTGGCCGATTCCCACCAAGGCAGGGTGGCCCGAAAAAGAAAAACTTTCACCATCATTCATTCCATCACTGTCTTGCCAGAAGGGTGCTTTACACTACAGTTTTTAAACTGCAACATTAACACCCCTCCTTCAGAGTGCAGGCACTGTACTTCCCATCTCCAGGACTCAAGTCCGGCCTGCCGGTTTCCCTGAACCCCTTCATAAATGTTACTTTGCTCACACTCCAACAGCACGTCAAGTATTAAAAACCATTTGTCTCCATTCACTCCTATCAAACACGCTCACGCATGCCTGCTGGAAGTCCAAGCCCCTCGCACACACAACCTCCTTTACCCCCTCCCTCCAACCTTTCCTAGGCCGACCCCTACCCCGCCTTCCTTCCACTACAGACTGATACACTCTTGAAGTTATTCTGTTTTGCTCCATTCTCTCCACATGTCCGAACCACCTCAACAACCCTTCCTCAGCCCTCTGGACAACAGTTTTGGTAATCCCGCACCTCCTCCTAACTTCCAAACTACGAATTTCTCTGCATTATATTCACACCACACATTGCTCTCAGACATGACATCTCCACTGCCTCCAGCCTTCTCCTCGCTGCAACATTCATCACCCATGCTTCACACCATATAAGAGCGTTGGTAACATATACCCTCATACATTCCCCTCTTTGCCTCCAAGGACAAAGTTCTTTGTCTCCACAGACTCCTAAGTGCACCACTCACCCTTTTCCCCTCATCAATTCTATGATTCACCTCATCTTTCATAGACCCATCCACTGACATGTCCACTCCCAAATATCTGAATACATTCACCTCCTCCATACTCTCTCCCTCCAATCTGATATCCAAATCTTTCATCACCTAATCTTTTTGTTATCCTCATA